ACACTGTATTCTGATAAATTAATTTACAATACTTTCATATAAAAGTATTTCCATATATTTTCTTTTAATATTTGCTGGGTTACTAATGATTTGAGTGGATAAAAGGTTTGATATATTTGTTTTAAAAACCGTAGTCACTTAATGCAAATTTAGCTAACAAGGTTGGTTTATCATATTAATAAAATATTAATTAAAAAATTGTGATTTAAATTATATAAGTCATGTTAATTCCAGCTAATTCAAAAATTATATATGTCTCTGTGTGTGTGTGTGTGTGTGTGTGTGCGTGTGTGTGTGTGTGTGTGTGAAACTGTTGCAACTCTTCTTGATTTATGAATGACATTAAAGGTCGAAGTGAAATTTTGAATCATTATGAAATATTAGAAAATTTCATGTAGATCTATATCTGTGGAATTAAAAATTATTCTGTCTCATAAAAATCATGGGACAATATATATATATATATATATATATATATATATATAGTTAAGTTATGAAGAAATTGGTAATCCGTATGGGTAATCCCAAGAAGGATGAAATCCTGAGAGCTCAATGTAAATCTAGAGCTGATATTTAAAAGAAAAACAGACCACTTTAAGGTACCATTATAATAATTTATTTCACCAGAGCCCTTTTAAAGGACGCCGGAAATGAAACGAAAAATGAAATTAGGGCTCTGGTGAAATAAATTATTATAACCTTAAAGCAGTTTGTTTTTCATATATATATATATATATATATATATATATATATATATATATATATATATATATATAGTGTGTGTGTGTGAATCAAAAGTAACACCCAGATTCTATGAAGTCATGTTGTTAATACTTGTCTTGTAGAATAATAATTTTCTTAAGTAATAATTTTTTTTCTCCCTTTTTGTCCCTCAGGTTATTACAGAGAGTATCGAAAGTTACTGAATTTGCACCAAATAACCTTTCGATGAATCGACGTCGTTTTCAACCCAAGAAGTTAGTAAGTCAAGAAATACGACACAGCATTTGTGCTTTTAACGGTTTAAAGTTTCCAATGAGCTATTTCCGGTTTTCTCTTTCCTTTCCTTGAAGATGGCCAAAGATGGTGGAAATTACACGGATCCTTACAGAAAATTTCGGCAGATTCATTTACAAATTTCCACGTGACACCAAATGACTTATTGGACGCCAGTAATAACTTGCCAAAAAGGCTCAATAAACAGTAATAGTCTATTTAATAAAACATGTTCGAATGAAGGATTACTGTATAAATACACGATGTTCAACACACACACACACACACACACATACATACATACATACATTTAAGTAATTCATCGAATCTGAAAGAATATGTGATCGAGCGGCGCTATATCGAGTCTGATTCCCTACCTCTTCGTCACCGAGGCCCGTTGGTACAGTTGGTATGACGTTTGCTTAATAACCTAACTGTACGGGCTTCAGTTCTCGGTAGTGGATGCGCACTACTGATGAGTCCCAAATATAGGACGAAACGGCCGTCCTGTGCTTTCTGCATTCCGTTGAGGTTTCTTTCAAACTCGATGAATTACTTAATTATAATTATCAAATCCTAATAATTTATAATTATATATATATATATATATATATATATATATATATATATATATATATATATATAGTATAACAGTAAAGTTGTCCAAATCGTGTAACAGTAAAATTGTCCAACTGTTAGATTTTAGTTCTGAACCGCTGTATCTTAGAAATGATTAAAGATATCTTACTGAAATTCTCCGATGTTCATATAATACTATTGGACTCTATTTTAAGCAATAAGAATGTATAATTACTCTCCAAGCTTTACATACTTCATGAGCTTCCGATCCTTATCATGAAGTATTGAAATAAATTTCATATATATATATATATATATATAATTCCAGGATCATTTTCCAACTAATTCAAGATGATCTTCGTCCTCTCTAACCTTCTAATTTTCTGTCCTTGAGTACAAGGTTACTCACACTTTTGAGTTTCTTTTTTCCAGGTTTTCATATAAAAGGTTTAGCAATCTTGATAACATTTGTCGTAAGAATCATTGAAAACCATCTGAGTTATTTAGTTAGAAAGAGGAAAGGTTAAAATCGTTTTCTATCAACACCATTGTCTTCCCAACTGAGCAATGGGGAGAGGAAAAGATCATTGAGGCCTTCAGTAATGGTACCAACGTTCATACTCTGGCTTCCATCTTCAAAGTCCATTCAAGAACCATCAAGAGAATGGTGAATAAGTTTATAAAAGTAAGGAGGAAAATTGGATCAGGTGGTCAACAGGGAGAGGGATCAACATTTCAACTTAGAGCACACACACACACGCGCGCGCGCATATATATATATATATATATATATATATATATATATTGAAATTTAGTTCAATATTTCATGAGCTTCCAATCCTTGTCTATGATTAATTGATGATGAACATATCATTTTAGTTTATTTCATCACCATTCTTCTGTTAAGCTTGGAGAGTAAAAGTAGTGTCCAGTAGTTTTATAAAATGTCTGAGAATTCAGTAAGATATTTATAATCATTTACAACGGTTCAGTACTTAATCTAAGAAATGGACAATTTTGCTTTGACACGATTTGGACAATTCTGCTGTGACACCCGGTATATATATATATATATATATATATATATATATATATATATATATATATATCGTTAAACCTAATACTTGCACCTCTGCTTATCCGTGTTTCTCTTTAAACCCCTTCATTCGTCAATTTGGAATAAACTGTACTCCCCAACCCTATCCGTTGTTTATTTGTTTTTTTGTTTTTTGGTCACGTGGTTATGGTTTTTTGTTTATTGACTATATATTCCGTTCTTTTTTTACCTTTTTAGTCAGCCTTCCCTGACGATCCGCTTAGGTGAAACCTTGGTAGGTTTGTCTGGCACTCTAGGTTTAACTAGGTCTGCTCTACTCATTGTATTGAGCACTTTATTATTTTCGGTTAACGTACATGTTCTTGGTTCTTTCTTTTTTATACCTTTTTTCCCTTTGGTATATGCAAATCAAGACACCGAAGGTTTTCCGAACGAGTAGACTTTCTTATACTTATAAGTATATTAATAATATATATATATATATATATATATATATATGAAGAAAGAATATATATATATATGAAGAAAGACAAAAGGAAAAGTTTTCTTTATCGACGCGTCCTATGCTTTGATGAACACCAATATTTATTTTGTAACATGTATTTATAAAGAAAAGTCTTGTTGCAAAATAAAATCCTTACATTTCAATTTTGTGATAAAATCCATCAGAGGGTGTTACGCGATGTTTTTTTTTTGTCTTTATTCGTATTGTCTTTTTTATTATCCCTTCCCCATTATATATATATATATATATATATATATATATATATATATATATATATATATATATATATATATATATATATATATATATATATAATAGTGAAAATATATAGAAAATAGGAAGGAACTGGTTAGGTAAATAATCCAAAGTCCCTTAGTATTTTAGTTATTATTTTTTAAAAATAGTGCTCGATACAAAAGTAGAGCATAAATATAATTATTTATTTAAAAATATGATTCCAAAACGCTACATAAGAAGTCTCATGTTTCAAAACAAGAGCCGAAAACTTCAATATAATTATTTCAATTAAATTGAGTTAAAATAAGCTCTGTTCCATCTTCAAAGTTCCCAAAAAAAAAACATTTTAACTCAATTGAATTGAAATGGAGCTTTTTGTTTTGAAAGAACTTTATGTTTGAATCATATTTTAAATAAATATATATATATATATATATATATATAATTATTTATTTAAAAATATGATTCCAACTCGCGACATAAGAGGTCTCATGTTTCAAAACAAGACCCAAAAAAATTCATTATAATTATTTGAATTAAATTGAGTTAAAGTAAGCTCTGTTCCATCTTCAAGCGAAATTTTTTGGGAATAAATTATTTCAGAAATTTACGTGTTTTAATAATTGAAATCAAAATTTCCATGGTAACAGCTAGGGCGAATTGTTTAAATTGGGTAGGCGTGTGTTGGGTGTTAATAATAAGTATCAGTATAGAGTTACTTTCATAGATGTCAAGTCAGGGTAAGGTGAGGGTGTCTAAATTTGAAACGGAAGATGTTTTAGCCTAGTCTGGTTTACGTGTCTACGGAGATTTATTTATTTTTTAATTTTACTTCTTTATGAAAGGGATTTGTGCATTTGTATCGAGCACTATTTTTTAAAAAAAATAATAACTAAAAAACTAAGGAACTTTGGATCTACCTAACCACTTCTTTCCTATTTTCTATATATTTTCACAAATACATTATATATATATATATATATATATATATATATATATATATATATATATATATATATATACTGTGCGTTTTTGAAAATATGATTCTTTTTATTAAGATGTTTTTACATTCAAAAAATCCTTAAATATGTCTTTATGCATGTTAGAAAATGTAAACAGTCTGAAAAAGTTCACCATTAAAATTCGTCCCCGCATTAGCCAATCAGAATGCAGAGTGTACACGAGACACTGAAAACATGTTATGTGCACTGTTGAAGGAAGATGAACAAGATCGGGGGTCATGAAGTAGAACATTAAGAAGAGGAAACGTAACTAGAGAAGGAGTGAGACAAGTACTGAAGGATGAAGAGGAGGGGGTGAGTAGGAGGATTATGACAGTCAGTAACAAGTTAAGAAGGTGAAACGATGGATGAAGAAAGAGAAGGTAGAGGGGAAAAGAGAGAGTAGAAAAGGTTATAAAGAATGCGAAATACTATCCAAGAGATGGTTTTTGTTGTTTTGTTTTGTTTTTTGATGACTGTAAAGAGGTAGGAAGGCAAAGCTGTTATTAATTATCATCAGGGCGCAGCCTCCCGTGGTCTGGAGTCCCGTATGTAGTTGGCACGAAGTGAAGACGAAAGGATGGCATCCAATTGTTGAATGAGAGAAGTACAGTCGGAGAGAAATTCAGTTCTCTGGAGAAAATATGGAATTAGAGAGACAGTTATCGAATGAGAAAGAAAGACTGGAGTTTGTTGAAAGAAAGAAAGAAAGAAAGAAAGAAAGAAAGAAAGAAAGAAAGAAAGAAAGAAAAAAAGAAAGAAAGAAAAGGTAAGATGGAGAGACAGTTATCGAATGAGAAAGAAAGACTGAAGTTTGTTGAAAGAAAGAAAGAAAGAAAAAGAAAGAAAGAAAGAAAGAAAGAAAGAAAAGGTAAGATGGAGAGACAGTTATCGAATGAGAAAGAAAGACTGAAGTTTGTTGAAAGAAAGAAAAGAAAGAAAAGGTAAATGGAAAAGTTAAGATGGAGAAACAGTTATCGACTGAGTTTGTTGAAAGAAAGAAAAAAGTTTGAAAGAAAGAAAGAAAGAAAGAAAAGGTAAGATGGAGAGACAGTTATCGAATGAGAAAGAAAAGACTGAAGTTTGAAAGAAAGAAAGAAAGAAAGAAAGAAAGAAAGAAAGAAAGAAAGAAAGAAAGAAAAGGTAAGATGGAGAGACAGTTATCGAATGAGAAAGAAAGACTGAAGTTTGTTGAAAGAAAGAAAGAAAGAAAGAAAGAAAGAAAGAAAGAAAGAAAGAAAGAAAATGTAAGATGGTGAGACAGTTATCGAATGAGAAAGAATGACTGAAGTTTGTTGAAAGAAAGAAAGAAAGAAAGAAAGAAAGAAAGAAAGAAAGAAAAGGTAAGATGGAGGGGCAGTTATCGAATGAGAAAGAAAGACTGAAGTTTGTTGAAAGAAAGAAAGAAAGAAAAGAAAGGTGGTGAAAAAGTTAAGAATGGAAAGAAAGTTAGTTTGTTGAATGAAAAAAGAAAGACTGAAGTTTGTTGAAAGAAAGAAAGAAAGAAAGAAAGAAAAGGTAAGATGGAGAGACAGTTATCGAATGAGAAAGAAAGACTGAAGTTTGTTGAAAGAAAGAAAGAAAGAAAAGGTAAGATGGAGAGACAGTTATCGAATGAGAAAGAAAGACTGAAGTTTGTTGAAAGAAAGAAAAAAAGAAAGAAAGAAAGAAAGAAAGAAAGAAAAGGTAAGATGGAGAGACAGTTATCGAATGAGAAAGAAAGACTGAAGTTTGTTGAAAGAAAAGAAAGAAAGAAAGAAAGAAAAGAAAAGGTAAGATGGTGAGAGACAGTTATCGAATGAGAAAGAATGACTGAAGTTTGTTGAAAGAAAGAAAAGAAAGTTATCGAAAGAAAAGAAAGAAAGAAAGAAAGAAAGAAAGAAAGAAAGAAAGAAAGAAAAAGAAAAGAAAAGGTAAGATGGAGGGCAGTTATCGAATGAGAAAAAAAAAGACTGAAGTTTGTTGAAAGAAAGAAGAAAGAAAAAAGAAAGAAAAAAAGAAAAGAAAAGGTAAGATGGAGGGGTAGTTATCGAAGGAGAAAGAAAGACTGAAGTTTGTTGAAAGAAAGAAAGAAAGAAAGAAAGAAAGACAGAAAGAAGGAAAAGAGAGACAAGGAGGACGCAAGACAGACGTTTATTGTATAAATAAAGCGAAAGAGAAATGGTAACAGAATGATAAAAAGAAAGATAAACAAATAGAGAAAGAGAATACATTGACAACTATTCATAAACATTGAAGAGAAGAAAGAGAGAAAGGAGACTTTACAGAGAGAGAGAGATGGAGAAAGAAAAGTTTTGAAGAGAGTTTTTTTTGAGAGAAAAAATAAAGAAGAAAAGAAAAAGATTCAAATATATATCGAGAGAATAATAAGGGATTTCAATATGACGGAAAGAGAATTATAAAGAAGGAGAGAGAAGGAAAGACTAAGAAACTATTGAACGGTTACATTTCTAGATCTTTTCACATTAATGTCCGTGTCCCCCAGGGTGATATCATTGGACCAACGTTGTTCTTAATTTTCATGGCCCTCCTGATGTCATCAGTCCTAGACTCCCTATCTACGCTGAAGACACAACTATTTACTCCTGTCTTAATGGTAAATCCGATCTGTTTGATAAGATCAAATTGGCAGCTGACCTCAGATATGATCGACAATCTATTCTTAAATCGGGCAAGAAATAGCTTGTTGATTTTAACGCCTCCAAAAAGAAACTGCTCTCCCATAGTCATCCTAGAGAATTTTTTTTTGGCTTATATCAGCATGGTTAATGATCACCTTCAGGAATCTAACACACTTTGAATTCCAGGAATAACGGTTACCGCTGCCATTAAGTGGAAACGTTATATTGAATCAACTGCTAGATTTGTTGCTCTGAATGTTGGCTCACTGTGTCGTGTTAAACAAGTTTTCTCATCAGAACAAGTCTTAAGGATTTATAAGTTTAATTTATTTGTTTACACGTTATTTTAAATGGATGCTCATATTTCAGTAGATGTTCTGTTTTTATTTATTTATTAAACAATATATTTATTTCAGTGAGTTATATGTTCCATGCGTGATACATGCTTAGACGGACATGTATCTTTCGATACATAACTGACCTGGCAGATGTTTTTTTTTTCCTGCAGTAGGTTGCCATTTTTTTCTGCGGTAGACCAGTTGCCATCCAAGGTTACATAACGCAGTCTTGTCTTGCTATTTACGGTGGAGCAACGGTGGAGTAATGGATAGCAGCTCGGATTGAAGAATCGGAGAACATTGTTCGAATTCCAGTTCCAATTCGAATTAGCACTTTTAGGAAAAATGTACAGAAAAGTTTATAAGAGGTGATCAAACAAAAAAAAATGGTGGAGTGATGGATAGAGGCTCGGACTGAGGAATCAGAGAGCTGATTTCGAATTCCAGTCGAATTCATTACATTCACTTATGTGCTAATAGCCTTGGGAAAGGTATGAATCCTCTTCTTCTCACCGCTGCTATGGCTAACTAGCAAGACAGACCGAGTTCTGTAGACTTGGATGGCAACTGGTCTACCACCGAAAGAAATGGCACCCTACTGCGGGGGAAAAATCTGCCTCGTCAGTCATGTATCGAAAAATACATGATCACCTAAACATCTATCACTGACTGATTCAATTCCTTGTATATATTCTGATTTCGAATTCCAGCCGGATCCATTACATTCACTTATGTGCTAATACCCTTGGGAAAGGTATGAATCCTCTTCCACTCCCCTCCAGCTATGGGTAAATAACAGGACAGACCGGGTTCTATAAACTTGGATGGCAACTTGTCTAGCGCAGAAAGAAAAGAAAACCTACTGCGTGAAAAAACAATCTGCCTCGCCAGTCGTATATCGAAAGATACATGATCACCTAAGCGCGTATAATGCATGGCACATAACTGACTGACTGATATTTATTTATTTCTATTTACTGGCCTGAATATTCGAGAACCGGGGGACGCATATTTTTCTAAGAAGATTTCTCGAATATTCAGGCAAATAAATAAATAAATATAATGTTTAATAAATAAAAAGCAGGGCATCTATTTAAATATGAGTATCCATCAAAAATAACGTTTAAACAAATAAATCAAATATGTCGGATTAATAAACGAAAAATACATTTATAAGTCGACCATTCGTCCATGCATTGAATAGTGCTATCAAATTTGTTCTGGTGCTTTTGCTATGTATTTAGAGATTCTGGATAAAATGCAAAGAATCTGTAATATTATTGGTCTTAACCTGGCATCTCAGCTTCATTCACTTTCCAGCCATCGTAACGTAGCTTACTTCTGTCTTTTATATAAATGTTTTCTTGATAAGTATTCTGATGAACTTCCCTCTTTGGTAGCGAGATTTATGAATGTAAGCGCGGTACTAGATTGGCGGCTAGGTTTCATCATTTTACAGTTGAAATGGCTACATATAAGCATACGTTCTATGACAACAGTTTATTTCATCGCACTTCTCGCTTGTGGAACTCTCTTCCGGCTTCTTGCTTTCCTGTCAACTTTGACCTTCAAAAATTTAAGTGCAACGTCAATCGCCATCTTCTGTCTTTTTAATACATGTTCTTTTATTGTTTACACAATTTATTTATTCTTACACATTTATAAGTCGGCCATTTGTTCATGTCAGATTCTGCTGGTGTTTCTGCTATGTAAAAACAGAATTTTTGACAAAATCCAAAGAAGAATCTGCAATTTTAGCGGTGCTGTATTTAAAACAATTTTTTTTTAAAGGGCAACTACGTGTAAAGTCAAATATGTCGAAATTTTGATATTTCTTATTTAGGAATTTATTTTGGCCGTACTAAGATCAAAATGCGAGCAAAAAGACAAAGAATTGAATATTTGAGATTTATAGATTACGAAGGGTCAAATAAAATGCGAAGAGTTTGAAACGATTGGAAAGTTTTAGCTTGATTTGAAAAGATTCACATAATTCCTAAACTGTACTGGAAATAAAACATCTTTCATGTGGATAGAGAATGAAGTCAAAGGAATGCGTCAAAACAGAAAGAGGCGTACTACAAGGATGTGTTAGTCTTTTGTCGAATTTACTTGTACAACGAGATGATTCCAAGAGCACTAGAAAACTTAAAGGGATTTATTATCAACAGACGCAACCTTAACGTACCCTGGATATATATCATTGTGTTGATGACAGCTTCAGAAAGAAAACTACAGGAAACGTTAGACTAGGAAAGAAAAAAAAAAGGAATAACTATTCATTGTAATTCGACAGAATACATATTTGTCACCAGAAAACGGCAACTCAAGGTGTGAATTTTATATTAGAGATGTCAAAATCAAGCATTTCATGTGCAATGTAATAATGGATGACGTAAAATGCCACAAGGAAATCTGAAGTCATATAGAAATGGCGAAAGATGACCTCCCGAAACTAAGCAAAGTATTAAGTCATAGGAAAATATTAGAACAGAAGGAAAATAGCTGAAATGCTTTGTAATATTTAATATCTCGCATGGCAGTGTATACCTGGCAGTTTTTTTTTTTCACTAAGTTAGAAGAGACATGAAACGACAGAGATATGGTTTAAACCGACGAATAATGAGAATACCATGGACAAATCATGTGCAAAATAGGGAAGTTCTTAAGGAGATTAGGAAATAGAAAGAAACTACTGCTAACAATTAAGAAAAAAAGACAACTGAACGTTTGGGGACACGGAATGAGAAACGAATACCTGGAGATTTTAAAGCTTGCTAAGCACATTAAAGAAGCAAGCGAAAAAGCGAATAAACAAATTTATCAGAGTAAAATGGATGACAGAGCAAAGAAAAAGACAGATCTGAAAGGGGAAAGAAGTATTGTAGCAAAAAAAAAAAAGAAGTTGTGAAGAGTCATGATCGTCCACGATGAGAAAGAAAGAAAGAGAAAGAGACATTTGTATATGTCTTTTATTTTGCCGTGAATTTGGGGCATTTTAGCATAGGAACCAAAAAGCAAGAAATTCCGACTGAAAAGAAATCAAATCTGAATTTAATTAAAAGACCAATCTTGTCGACGTTTATTTGGTCTCCACACAGCTTCGGTTATTGAAATTAGAAACATCCCGGTATATTTTGCTTTCTAAAAGTCTTGAGTAGTCTTTTGGGAATGAATCGTCAGTTTTATCAAGATTATGTTACGAAGAAACCCGATCAGGTCTCCTGACGTGAAATTAATACCTTCAGAATTTGTCTTTATATCGATTCCAACATCATTCAAAAGAAACCTTTTTACTGCCAATAAAATAAATAAAGAAATATACAATTTAAATAAAGAATAAGCTATGCAAGTATATACGTGTTGTTTGGCGGTCATAAGCGCAGAAAACAGAATCATACTTTAATTTTATATTAACAATTTTAGGAAATGCATGAAGCTATCTGTTCTCTCCAGCCATCCAACTATGGGTTAAACTTCCAGCTAGAATTGCCTCTTGACTTTCTAGTCAAGAGGCAATGCCAATCTCGGAAAAGGACAGTTGCATATTCGGAACCTTAAATGATGCCAACAGAAACCTACTCCATTAACTTTTCCCGAGAAGTAAATGTCAGTTCGCGTATGTTATTAAAAATTAAACGAATTCGGGAAGGGAGTTGATAGAGAAACACCTCACAGTCACAGAATTGTTACAGACCAAAGAAAATGGTCATATATTTTAAAGCAAATAATCCATTTGATAATAGATTTTCAAGATTATTTATTCTAAAATTATGTATTTGTTCTAATATTTTTTATTAAAAATTGTTTTACTTGTCACCTTTTAAAAGTAATCATTATATTAGAAAAAATTGCCTAAAAATATTATAGTAAAACAAAAGAATTTTTTAAATGCAATAATTCTTATTTGGTAATTTTTAACCGTATAAAAAATTAATTAATTTTACTGCATGACATTACCGTGTTTGCTGTTAAGTACTAGATTTTAAAATTCGTCTAAGGATAACGACCGGTGTTAAATTATAAGAGGTTACAATTTACGTTCATGAGATGGTGACTGCAAAATGGCGACTTTTTCGTCCTTTTTCGTTTATGAAAGTAGCGCAAATCTGCACAATGCAATTTTGTTAGGGACATAAGGAAGCTTGTGTAGGTAAGTATTCTGCTTTTCATGGTGGAATTTCCTTTATTATTATTATTATTATTATTATTATTATTATTATTATCTTTGATTTCTGGCGTTTACACATTTCTTTCCGGGTCCCGCCCAGGGACCTAAGGTTAGAAATGGCGTCATGAC